AGAAATAAATAAGGGGGGAATTCCAAGAATTCTAGATCCCTCAGCCAGCAAAGCAGACTGTTTTCCTTTGGTTTAGATTACTTTGTTGTGTGGATCTGGCTGGTCAAATGACCAGTTAAGAATATTTCACAGGGTGAGTGTTCCGTTGCTCTAATCTCACTAGACAAGGTTCATATTTGTGTAGGTTACTTATTCTCCCTTTGTTGACTAAGTCAATAATCAGAATCAGCAGGTTTGGAGTCAGCTTGGCAGGGGATCAGCAGCCTGGCTTTGGAGGAGGGAGTATAAAAGCCCCTCCACCTGAGAGCGGACTTCACAGAGGTCCACTGGCTCCTAGCAGGATGGCTTCCTCTCATCTGATCCTCCTTTGCCTGGCTGCACTGGCATTTATGTCTGAGGCTGGCCCTGCGGTAAGTGATCCTATGGACGCCTTTGCAGACATGGCAGGTGCACCTTAGATAAAGGAGAAGTGACTTCCTCCAGCTTTGGCAACTAGCTGGTGTTATTAGGACAAGGATGCCCATTAAACTCCAAAGAGAAGATCTGGAGTTTAGACCCTTGGCTCTTTCTCTTGTTGCATTGGTGAATTGAGTCTGTAATGCTCAGTATCTTGATGTCCTTAGATAATAAAATTATGAAATAAACATAGAAATAAAGATATAAAAGTCCTGGGCATGTAGTGTAATGGTACAGTGTATGCCTAGCATGTGGAGAGCCCTGTGTTCAATCTCCAGCTGTAGAAAAAAAAAAAAAAACAACTAAAAAACCACATCATCAGTGGAACTATTAATATTGAATTCTCGTAAAATATATTTCATATATTTATTATACCTATTGTGTAAGGTTATATTTTGGTTCTTTAGCTAATCAAGATATATTATTGATCATTATTTGTTTGGGGAGGGAACAGCAAGAGTGCTGTTCTGATGGAGTTCTCTAGAAGAGTGAATCAGTTCAATTAAATGGGTCAGGAAATATGTGGGTGTTATGTTACAACTAGAGGGAATTACTATAGCAACAGCTGATTAAAATGGTCTCAAGAAAAAGACCATTCTGTCTTTTTGCACCATGCACCTTTCCAGTGGCTCCATTCAGATGGAGAGGTGAACAAAGTCACGGCTCTCAGAAGGCCTGTTTTCCCTTTGAAAATTCATTATACATGTCCCTGGTGCACAGCAGTGTGTCTGGAGGCAGAGCTGTTCTTGCTTTGGAAACAATGCTGCCTGTGTTATACTGAATAAAGAAGCACATTAATTGTCAACACTTATGTTATCGGAATGGGATCAGCATGTACTTTTGGGTTTGTTCCAGATTCTAACACCAGAAAGAACAAGCCCTCTTACTCCGATCAATTTCACTGACCTCTCTCTTGTCTTCTCTATGTCCAGGGCACTGGAGAATCCAAGTGTCCTCTGATGGTCAAAGTCCTGGATGCTGTCCGAGGCAGCCCTGCTGTGGATGTGGCCGTGAAAGTATTCAAAAAGACTGCCGAGGGAACCTGGGAACCATTTGCCTCTGGGTAAGCTTGCAAAGCACCCTGCCATGGGATTGGTTGTGCCTTTCCATTCACCCTTCTGCTCGTTAGAGACTGGTACAGAACCTGGGAACCATTTGCCTCTGGGTAAGCTTGCAAAGCACCCTGCCATGGGATTGGTTCTACCTTTCCATTCGCCCTTCTGCTCGTTAGAGACTGGCCCACACAGCGTACCAGCTGTAGAGCTAAGAGAGATGTCTCAGTGGTTAAGAGCACTTACTGCTCTTGTAGAGGACACAGGGTTGGCTCCCAGCACCAAAATGGCAGCTCAAACCCAGTACCTGTAACTCCAGTGTCTGGGGACCCAGCATCCTCTTTTGAGCACCATGCAGGTGGCGCACAGACACACGTGCTGGCAAAACATTCATGCACATAAAGTAAAAGGAAACAGTCTTATGAAAACAAAGCTGGCAGCCAGAGAATGTTAGAAGGTTAAAGGTGTGGGCAGAGACTTTTCTTAAGCAAGCTGCTTTCTTGCTTTGCTTAGCTGAGCATGGCCAGGAACCCGAGCACAGTCTAGGACTGAAGGGAGGAAAAGGAGTCAGTAACTCCTCTGCTTCAGTAGGAGTTTGCACTCTCACATCACAGCCCACTTGCAGAAGGTGATGAAAATACAGCCTCTAGGGACTGGAGAGATGCCTCTGTCAATTAAGCGCCTGCTTGGAAGATAGGGTACTTGACGTGAATCCCCAGACCCTGTGTAAGAAGCCCAGCATGGTAGTGCATGCTTATAACCCCAGCCTGGGCATGGGGGCTTAGAAACAGGAGGACCCTGGAGTTCCCTGGCCAACCAGCCTCGCTGAATGGGTAGGTTCATGTCCAGTGAGAGACCCTGTCTCAAAAATCAGCATGTAAAATAATTGAGAAAGACAGCCAGCTTTGAGTTCAGGTCATGCAAATGTGTACACACGCACACACAACACATAAAATAATATACACAATCACACAACACACACATATACAGAGAGGAGAGAGAGAGAGAGAGAGAGAGAGAGAGAGAGAGAGAGAGAGAGAGAGAGAGAGAGAATTATAGACTCCATGGCCCCAATGAGGCACATGACAAATGCATATAAAACCATACAAGTAATTTCAGGAGTGTTCAGATTCCCTGGCACCCATGGGTGATGCTCAAGCTTTGAGTCCTGGTCTTAGAATCTTAGGAAGGATGTACCGTGTGGTGATTAATTACTGAAAGGAAAGGAACTGACGAAGGACTCTCCTGGAGCTTCCTGGCGTTACCCAGAATCAGGAGCTTTTTGATGTACACTAGGGACAGAGTAGCTCCGTGCAGGGCTAGCAGCTACCATGCTTAATAAGAACCACATCAACAGAGATCTGCAAGGCAAAACGCAGGGGCTGATCGATCTCACAGTCACCCACTAGCATGCCAAAATGACTTCACACCTGTGCTGGCCACTTAACAATTTGTGTGTGTGTGTGTGTGTGTGTGTGTGTGTGTGTGTGTTTTAACCACTACAAGAATTCCAAAGAAATTACTAATTAACCTAAACAAATGAACCAAAAAAAAAAGCAGCTAAGATGCCCTTAGCACCGAGCAGAAACAGCTAAGCCCTATGTCTCCTGGGTGAAGTCTTTCTATTAAGTTTTAATTGAATACCAAGCACCACTAATGTTCCTCACCAATCATTGGGAAGATCATTTTCTTCGGCACAGTTTTAACTGAGTTTCTATTTGTTAATTTCTTCCTGATTATGTGAGTGTCAAGCCCAGCATGCAAAGTGGTGAGGGGAGTCTAAGCTGGAACAGAACCAACACCCAAATAGCCAAGCTTTCTTGGGACTCTTCTTTCTTGTGAACACCCCAAAAGGGGGGTGGAGAGATGGGCACAGGCATGACCAGAGTCACTAAGGGCAATTGTCACTTTGTCTTGGTTGTAATGAAATGAGGAGTCGTTTCTGACATTTCCATTAGGAACTGGTGCCTACGCAGAAACAGAAGCCGCTTGGTGTTTCTTGATGGCAAAGGATTGCCAAGCAGATTACATTTGTAAAAAGAGAAAGTCAGTTATAATCTCCTTTGTTTATTAGGTTTTCTACTCTGACAAACGACACAGGCTCCAAAAGTCACCCTTGTGCCATGGGACACTGGCCTGTCACTCTGCTGCCACAGGGGGCGTCAGAGTGAGAGCTGCTTGTGACATTTTCAGGGACTGCCATGGACTTTCATCAAGTCATTAACCTTGAATGTAATAGTGTGTGTGTGTGTGTGTGTGTGTGTGTGTGTGTGTACATGTGTGTATGTATTGTTGGGGATTGATTCCAGGGCTATACAAATGTTAGGAAAGAACTCTACCACTGAGCAACACCCCGGACCTTAAGGCTTTTCTTTTCTTTCTTTTAAAAAGATCTAATTAACTAATTATGAGACAGGGTCCCACCTGGTCCAGAACTCACTGTGTAAACCAAATTGCCCTCATACCTGTAGCAGCCCCCTGCCTCTACCCCCAGAGAACTAGGATAATAGGAGGGCCCCACATGCCTGGGTTAAGACTTTTAAGGGAAACATCTTAATGTATTTTATTCTCATAAGACAAAACTCTACAATGAGCTGTACGTAAAGTTCCTGGGAATTTCTTGCCATTTTACCACAAACACAAAAATGTCCTCCTTGACTCAGTTGATAGAAAAAATACACAAATACATACGTGTTACACACATGCACACACGCATGTCTATCACAACCACGTGCACACACACGTCTGTGTGCGGTAGCCCTTCTTTCCCCCTGACTTCCCCTGGCCTTCTGCGCCTTCCAGGAAGACGGCTGAATCTGGAGAGCTGCACGGACTCACCACAGACGAGAAGTTCGTCGAAGGGGTGTACAGAGTCGAGCTGGACACCAAATCCTACTGGAAGGCCCTCGGCATTTCCCCGTTCCACGAGTACGCAGAGGTGAGTGGACACGCCGACGTGCTCGGGGTGGTTTTCAGTTTTGGGAAATGCACTTCACTCTTGGGCGTGAGAAGGAAGCAGGACCCTTCCCCATCCTACAGCCAGAAAGCAGCAAATCTCCTGAGTTTGTCAAAAACTCACTTGGCAACATTGCCCGAACCTGCTCACACTACTTATGGTCGGTGTGATTTATGTAAATTCGTTTCTCTGTTGAAGGAATATTAATGTTTGCCTTTGAGGCAGCCTCCAGATACCACCGAGGGCATTTCATAGCCAAAGAGAAGGTTCCCTGTGTTATTTCTCTAAATTCTAGCATTTTCTTTATTCCCGAACACATCGAGTGCCCCAGAGGTTTGGGTAAATAATTCCTGACAATGCACAGAATGAGAATACATTCAAAATCATAACAGCTGAAGAGCTAAATCTCCAAGCACACACCACATGGCAAAGGGGTTTCTCAATCAAAACTGTTTCATCCTTACGATCAATCTATGGAGGGCTAGCCTTGTCTTGCCCCCATTTTACCAGTGAAGAAGCTGAGGGAAGTTAAGTACCTCACAAGGTCACACGTGTGAGCAGGCAAAGGCCCAGGGGCATGCCGCCGGAGCCCAGGCTGGAGCTGGGCTCTGTGTTGGTCGGTGTGCCTTCCATGCCTCAGCCAACTTCTCTAAGAACCTGAGCTAAAGCAAAACGCAAAGCCAAACACCGAAACCGTATGAGGAGCCTTCGCTTCACACTGGGCTCCCCGGCTCCTCTGTCATGTCACACAGGGGGCTGTCATGGAAATAGAATCCAGGCCTCTTGGTCAGAACTGGAGATAACGAATTCTGTCAAAAATAGCTGTGCATGGGACCTGGTTTGCTGTCTGTTGCTATTATAAGCCCCATGACCTACAAGGCAACATGGGGAGGGAAGGGCTTGTTCCATCTTACAGCTTTCTGTCCATCATGGAGGGAAGCCAGGGCAGGAAGCTGGAAGTAGGAACTGAAGCAGACACCAAGGGGAATGAATGCTGCTTACTGGCTTGCTTAACTACCGTTCTTTTACAGCCCAGCTCTTTGTGCCCACTGCCCACAGTAGTCTGGGCCCTCCTACATCAGTCCTTAGTGAAAATAAATGCTTCACAGACTTGCCCACAGGCCAATCTGATGGAGGCTACTCGCAACGAAGGGTCCCTCTTCCCAGGTTACTCTACTTGGTGTCACGTTGACAAAAACATATCGAACCAAGTGTGCCGGGGAACCTCTCTGTGGCTTGACCACGGATGAGTCTTCCAGTTCTCACAGCAGACTCTGTCACCAGACAAACCAGAGGGGTCTGTTGGACTCTTGGGGTTCACAGCTGTCAAGAGTCCGCCACCTACCAAGATGTACTCTAGCTCCTCCTCACCGGGCACCCGCGCACTCGTGGAGTGGGGCATGTGCAGGGTTCGCTGGGGGACACCTCCTCTGCCCACTGGATTAATTGCCCTTACACCCTCGTCTGCTCCAGTCTCAGCCTGCTGGGATGACTCGTAGGGGTTCACTCATAACATGCCATCGCTCTTAGGATACTTGTCTGACACTCTTTTAGAATTCAATCAACAAACATTTTTATTTTGTTTTAGCTTTTTCGAGACAAGGTCTCTTGTAGGCCAGATTGGCCTCAAACTAGCTGTATAGCTGAGAAAGACCTTGAACTGCTAGCCTTTCCGTCTCTGCCTCCCAACTGCTAGGATAACAGGCATGGACCACCACAGCCATGTTACTCTACGCTGGAGCTCTGAACCCAGAGCTTCATGATGCCAGGCAAGCACTCTACCAACAGAACCACACTGCCAATCCATCACTCAGCAAACATTCCAAAAACTGAAAACCTGCCTCAAGTACTCTGCTAAATGCTAGAGATGCAGAAGTGATACCATGCATCCACGCCCTTGGAATAGAAAGGGAGAGACTTGCTGGTGTCAGTTCCTCAGTGGATCCGGAGGTAGCTTGGCACACGGGAGCAGAGACTCTGAGAAGTGGGGTGTGAGTCCCCCCTGCTCCAGTGCTGGCAGGCACACAGTGCTTGTGGCCACGGTCTTCTTGGCTGTTTGTTCCTCTCCTGATAAACGTCTCCTAAAGAGCTGCAGTCTTTTAGTGCTGGCCATTTCCTCCCGGCCAGCATCCCAGAGGATCACATCACACACACCAAGGAAAATTAGGAAATGTTCTTTGACACTGTTAGGTCTCTTTGCTTTGTGGGGTTTGTTTGTTTGCTTGTTTGTTTGTTTGTTTGTTTTTTATGTACGTGGGTGCATGGTCCTGTGCATGTATGTGTGCAGGCACACATGTGTATGAATGTGGATGCTACAGACAACCATCGATGCCATTCTCAGGAACCCTGTCCACTCCCAGCCACACACACACAAACTTTGAGACAGGGTCTCTTATTAACCTGAATCTCACCAATTAGGCTAGACTGAATGGCCAGTGAGTCCCAGACTATCTCCACCTTCCCAGCTCTGGGGTTACAGACATCCTGAATTTTTACATGGATTCTGGAGATTAAATTCATGTCTTCATGCTTGCAAGGCAAGAATCTTACTGAGCTCTCTTTCTTGTGGATTTTATTTTGTTTTGTTTTCTGAAACAGGGATTCTCTGTGTAGCCCTGGCTGTCCTGGAACTCACTCTGTAGACCAGGCTGGCCTCTAATTCACTGATGACTGTCTGCCTCTGCCTCTCAAGTGCTGGAATTAAAGGCATGGGCCCCTACTGCCCGGCACTTGGTGGATTTTTAAAAAAATCACATAGTATCCCTTTTTCACTTCTGAGGAAGAAACAGATGATACTGGAACACAATGTGACAGAGAAAAGAAACCTCACAGAGTGGGTGTAGTAGCACACACCTGTACTCTAACACTGGGAGGCTAAGACAGAGTGATCAGGAGTTAGTGGCCAGCTTAGACAAGAGGCTAGGGTTGTTACTGAGGGACAGAGGGTTTGCCTAGCATTCACAAGATTTGATCCATAGCACTATGAATAGCAATAAATAAATAAAACAGAAAGTCTGAGATGAATCTCCCTTCCATTTATCTGGATGTTGTTTTTTTGGTTTTTTTTTTTTTTTTTTTTTTTTTTGTTTTTTTTTTTTTACTCTATCATCCAAGCTTTCTTTGCCCTGCATTCAGAAAGAAGAGGTATTTGTTCAAAGTGTGTTCAAAGCTCTATCCGAAACCAGTATACAAAATGAGTAAAATTACACACATCTTCTCTGCCCACCGTTTCTTCTGGATGTGCCTCAACCCCAGCACCTGGGCTTTTGCTGCGCCCATGTCTCAGACAGTCTGGTGACTTGGGATGTGGTAGTAAACTGCAAAATCCACATTTTGTCCCGACACCTTCCATGGGCTCCAAAGCTTTCATTCCCATTTCTGCCGATGTTGCCAGCCACACGCTGCTTGTGTTGTGGAGAGAAGCCTGTGATGCCTCCCCCCACACCTCAGCATTGTTACTTACCTAAAAATAGGTATATACATCTTCTCTTGTTAGAAAATGCAAAGGGACAGTGGGAGAGAAATCCCTAGACTTGGAGTCAAGGAGTCTTCCCTTCCTGGTGGGAACTGTAGGACTCAGGTCTGCAGGAGAAGGATTCCTGCCAGCATTCTAGGTCTGGAAGTCTGCAGCGGGGCGACAACCACTGTTCCCCACAGGTCTTTGGTCCGTAGGTTTTTCCCTTCTCTCTACTTTTCTCTGAAGCCAAGAAAGTGAACAAAAGCCCTCCGGCTTCTCTGTGACTCAGCTTGGAGTGGCCAGGACCACCCAGACTGGTTGTAAACTTGAAGAGAGGCCTTCTGAAATTCTCTAGGAGCTGCACAAGGCTCCGAAGACTTAGGCAGCATATTTGATTTTGTTCTAATTATTCATCCCCCTCAAAGTCAGATAACCAAATGAAGATTATCAATTTAGCATTGAACTTCCAGGGAAGGCTTTGACTGTGGCTCCCGCCTCTGAGTTCTGTTTGAAACCTAACTGTCTCTCCTCTCTCCTAGGTGGTTTTCACAGCCAATGACTCTGGCCATCGCCGCTACACCATCGCGGCCCTGCTCAGCCCATACTCCTACAGCACCACTGCCGTCGTCAGCAACCCCCAGGCGTGAGGTACCCGGCCCAGGAGGACCAGGATCTTGCCAAAGCAGTAGCAGCCCGTTTGCAGGGAAACAGTGTTCTTGCTCCATAAACTGTGTTAGCAATTCGGAAAGACGCCATGAAACATTCCTATTAAACCACTTGTCATTTCATTCAAATTTTGTTTCTTTTTTATTCTTTCGTTTTTTTCCTGCTGCCCCTAAAACCCAAATATTATAGAGCCACTAAAGAATTCTAGAAAATCTTTGACCAGAACTTTTTTTCCCTTTGGTCTTTTTTGGTGCTTGTCCTGGATCTCACTCTGTAGACCAGGCTGGCCTCGAACTCATCCTTCTGGCTCTGCCTCCTAAGTGCTGGGATTAAAGGCGTGCACCACCTCTGGCTGGCGGCCAGAATGTTTTTTAAAGAGGGAAATATCTTTCTGGCTCATAGTTTAAGGGATCCTGTCCATCATGGGAAGCTCATGGTTGCTCATGGCCACTCAAGGCAGACAGATCAGGAAGCAGAGAGGGCCAAGCTTTCAATGCTTTACAAGCAAAGCACAAGCTAAGAATGGTCTGTAGACATTCAAAGCACAGTCTGAAGGTCTGGAGATACACAGAAGCGTTTCCCGAGCATGCTCAAAGCCCTGGGTTCAATCCCAAGCAATCCCAAGGGCACGGTCTGAAAATAAGATGTTTTATTTTTCTATGACCTTCAGTGAAAGAAGGAGACAAACTGTAGAGGACTAGTCCTTCGAGCATTTTTGTTAAGTGCTTTACGCATTTGGGGGCTGTCCCAGTTGTAAGAATGATAAGCAGCGCTGGGTGCCGGCACTGGTTCTCCAGGAAAGGTCATAGCCACGGCTACCCCAGTATCAGTATCAGAGCTTTTTTAGGAGGAAGAGAACCAGGCCCGGGGAAGGAGCACGTGCAGAGAGAGAAAGATGGTGGGGAGAAGAGGGAACAGAACAGAGAGAGGGTGGGGTCTGAGCCACGGCTCTTTAAGGCGCAGGCGGGCTTCCAGAGTTACGTCATGCATGCACAGATTGCGTTACCACGCTGCGTGTACGTAATCACCAGCGCACATTGGTGATGTAAGAGGCAAGACCCTTTGTCAAGCTCCTGAACTGAGCATGTGTGGTCATGCAGCTGGAGCTTGGCAGAATCCTAACAACAGTTCCTCTGCACAAGAATGGGCCTATCAACAGTCGGGCACGATGAAGATGGGCTTTGGGGGTCCTACCCTTACTGCTGAACTATTTACTACTGACAGATTCGGGGTGGGGGGCGGTCACTGTCTTCAGCTTGTATCCGCTGACGACCCCATCACGCTCCAACAGACGTCAAGCCACGGTGAATAAATGGGTTACAGAACCAAACAAAATGAATTTTTGGATAAGGGCTGGTGGCAGCTTGGAGAGGGTTTGGCGGGGTGGGAGGGAGATAGAGAGGGCAGGGAAGAGAGCATCAGAACACATTGTATACATGTATGAAACGGGAGAAAACAAAATTAATCACCAAAACATTTTTAAAGAATAGTACATTCCCAAGGGACAGATGTGCGGCAGCTCAGCCTGAGGCGGGAT